ACTAGAGGGGTAGGGGCACCACTTTCTGGGAGGTAGACCATATGCATACCCCTACTAGTAGATATACTCAGATTTCTCAGACTCACAAGGGTCATGCCATGGTGAGCTCATCATTTTTGGGATAGATAACACTGATAATGGTACTGTGAGAGATCCAGATTAGCTATGGGGTCAATTTAAATGCTAGACAGGCTCATTTGAAGGTCTATACCATTCTACATTCAAGTCTTGGATCATACTTGAAATTATTTTCTGACCAGTTGTAATAGCGAAGACACTCTCTTTTGCTTTATGTGTACCTACCCTCTATTCAGCTACCTTTAGTGACACATGGCAGAACCACAACTGATTATGATTCAGGGTCCTAGTAGACATCCAAATATCCTCATACACCCACCTCAAGGTCCAACACTCAGTCTATAGACCTCACTATTCATGTAAACCAGTACTGCATGCGCATGTCTTGGAATGTTCACCCCAATTTATCCTCCAAGAATATGCAGAGATCAATCTAAGTATGCTGGTCGGTGTATACACCTCATTTGCCAAGTTTTATATACATCATGATTATCCATGCATTCCTCACCCAGATATCAAGTCATCAGTGTGCTTGATTAAATTTGAAGCAGAAAAGCTATAGAAAAGTGGTATAACAGTATATTCTAAAGGTATGAGACCATATTCACATCAGATCATATCAAGACAATATGACTAACTGCCTACTGGTAAAACAATCATCTGAATCTCTAAAGAACTGATGGAGATATAGCTAGATCAAAATGTGTGATGGATTCACTGTTAGGTAGTGTTAATACACAAATAAGATTGAATTGATAAGAATATAGACCTTACCATTCAGGTATCCTTAGTAGTCCTTCAATTATATATATCAGCTAGTGATTGGCTTATGCTGGTATAACCATTCAGCTGTGACTATAGGTTACTTAATGAAAGTTGTTCGTATAAACAAAACATACAACTTTGGTTTTGTGACGATCTGTGACATTCTCTGATGATTCTCCTGTTAAATGGCGAAAATTTCCTTTTTTGGCAATGCGTCACGCTATGTGACACTATATAACAGCGTGACTCATGTGCTGAAATGAACACAAGTCACCAGAGGTTCAATTATTCAACATCATTCATAGCATGATATACTTGTAGTATAATGACTAACAAACCACTTTGTGACGTCACATACCAGTTCATACCAGTTCAAGTCCGAGTCTTATGCTAACTAATAAGCCTAAGTTACCTTAGAGCTTGGGATTTATGCACTTTATAGCAGCTTTATTGGAGTATTTATCACAGCGTAGGGTTTCAGAGCCATCCTCTCTAATTAGAATGACCAGTGGGGGGTAATGGCCATTCTAATTAGAGAGGATATGCGGAATCCACAGGTGAACAAGCGGCGAATAACCTCAAGCTTGCTGCTACCGCCAAATACATCTCAGGCATCAAGGCCATTGCCGAAATCAAGGCCAAGACGATACATGAACAGCAGAAGGCGATTGCGACGGCAGCTCACCCACTTGTTGTGCAAACTCAGAAGATGCTTCGACCACGCCCAGAGCCCGCAGTCTCTGTGGTCCCAACGAAACAAGGTGCTTTGATAGTCTTTGCTCTAACGCTAACTGATACTATTTGTCACAGATTTCGTTGACTTCTCCGATGGGCCTGGCAGCAGCGATGAATACAAGTAGAGCAACAACGAAGAATCAGACAAGGCCATGGACGACCAGTCCGACAAGGAAGAAGTCCCGAGAGCGCCGCTAGTAAAGAAGACCAAGACACATGTTCGTGAGGCAGTTGACAAGGCCCGCGATGAACTGCTTGCTGCCCAGCCAGTCTTGAAGCGTAATTCCTCCCAAGCTGAGTATGTTCTTTCTCAGCATTCTCTGTCAAAATTCTAACGATCTTCAATTACAGGCTCGCTCACACTACCAAAAAAGCCCACACCACGCAACCCCATGGTCTTCGAAAAGACTACCGGCCCCACCATACCGACAATCCAAACGTCAAGGTGGTCTCAGTTGAGGGCAACGAGACAGATGACATGGGCGGTGGGTTTGTCTCTGATGATGAAGACGATGGTGAAGAATGGGCTGCCGCGGTTCGCTGTCCAGGCGAAGCGAAAGCTGCTATTGCCAAGGTATAGAGTAGTGCTGGCCAGAATTATATTATGCTTGATTAAATATTGAATATATTCAGAATATTATGAATATATTATGCCCTTGGTGGATCACTTGAATATGATTATGTTTGAATATATTATATTATATTATGACTATACTATATTATAGTCACAGAATATTCAACTATAGTAAGATAGATGATCACAGCTATTTTCTCAGTGCATGTAGTCAGTCATAGTACTAATCTTAGTCTAAGTTAGCCCTACTTCTGATAAATGTCACATATTATCTATTATATATGGTGATTCATACATTACTCCTAGTAGGAACAAATGTCAGGAGTGATCACTTTGGGTTGACCTATTAAACATAGTGTAGGACCTCTGATCAAGTGTCTACTGGCTAACCTAAGACTAGTGACAATGCCCCTGATTGTATTTTGAGAGTCCTATGTAACCCAGGGAGGCCCAAAAGGAAGTTGCCCTGACATGTATTTTATGTTTTTGATTCCTTTTTCTAGCAGCAAATATATCAAACATATCAAGAGATATGTATACTAGATTATAGTTGAATATATTCATAACATATTCATATTTTCCAGCTGAATATGATTATATTATACTACAAATATATTATTGCATTGGAGCTCTGAATATGATATGATTATAAATATATTATGCCCATAAAATAATATAATCATATTTGGCCAGCACTAGTATAGAGTTTGTTGTCTATTAGCTTATGCGCTGAATACTGTTTAGATTGCTGCGCTTGCGGCATCGTTCCGACACTGGAGCCTACGTATATTGCCCCGAAGGATGACTCGATGAGCATGACGAAGCTCAAGAAGGGCTTCATCACGCATAACCACCTCCCTCCGGAGTTTCGACAGCTCTTCACCAAGACATTTACGCCGCACATGCTAACTCGGCTTGGAGAAGGTGAAGCTTGGGCTGGCTTCGAGCCTCGAAGCCAGCAATGACCTCCCCATCCTGAGGATGGGGAGGTCATTGCATCCTGGAACAGCATGTTCCAGGACCTGCAAGTCGGATTGGACACTGACCTCGCCGTTGTGATTGTCAAGCTGGTGAGTGTCAAACCTTGGTCGCTATCTTGGCTGACCATGAAGACTGAGGACAAGGTCGAAGCCTGGCGCCATCGCATCGGTACGACTGCTATCAAGGCAGTTGGGACTGATGCTCGACAACTACAGGACCCTGGAGGAGAAGCTCGAGTCGATCAAATGCAACAATGGTGGCTCCGACAAGGAGCGCGTATTCTACTACCGCGACTTTGGTCCAGCGCCCGATGGTGTTCCGCAAGTAGAACCTTTCCGTTATTGGGTCTCCCTATGATCTATCGGGCATTTTCCAGAGCTTTGTCATCGCCTACACATTTGCGGCACACATCTCTGCGACAACCATCAACAATACATCGGGCCCTGTCGGCTTCAATGTGGCTGATTGATCAACATATATACTATTGGTGCATTGACAATGTGCATCCAGGCGGTACATTATTTTACACTCATGATCCTGTACTTATCTTTTGTAGCTCAAATGAGCCTTCAACCTCTACAGCTCAGGGGCTTATGTCCCTGTCGCTGGCACTGGTGGGAACTTTTCGAAGACAAACTACAGGTATAGCCCTCAGCTTGTCAATGGTGTCAACAACCCAGTTCATCCCTATGCCAAGGTTGAGCAGCTGATCAAGAAGCTCCAACCTGGCCATTAGTACCGCCCCATCCAGTTGTCATCTGATGAGGAGAGCGACTTCAAGCTGGTAGACAATGATGTAATTTCTGATTGCTGTTAGTAGCTTACATTACAAGTACCATTAAGTTTAGATATGCCAATTATGATTTATAGCCATAACCCAAGATGGATTTAGCTTCTTTTGAGTGAAGCTTGAGAGAGCACTTGAGACTGCTTTTCAGCTTTTTTCAGCTTTAAAAAGGAAGGGACATAACCTTAAAAAGCTGCAAAAGAGCTTCAGAGCTTTTATTGCTTTTATTACTTTAACTGCTTTAAAAAGCTGGAAAAGCTAGAAAAGCTAACCCTGTCATTTTCCTGATGCATACATACCCATCCGCGTAGTGCTGTCCAATGATATGATACGACCCAATATATTTTGAATATATGGTCAAAAATACAGATATGATACTTAAATCCGAGAGCCGTATCATATCATATTGTTTTGATGGGTGAAAAGTGAGGGTTTGGGGCCTTTTCTCAAGCTTTCTGGATCCCAAACATGATCCTGAGTGAGTTTTAAGTGATGTTACTTCCTCCCATAGTGATTGGAACCCTTTATCATTTGTTTTATGCCCCAAAATACAGACATGATATGCCAAGATGCCTGTGGATATGATACAGATAAGATAAGATATGCCAAAATGCGTGTATTATTGCAATGATACCATTTAGATCAAGGGAAAGGGCCTCATGGAGAATCAGAGATAGCAAGGGTAGATATAGGTGGAGAGGCGAAGGTACAAAATATAAATAAGTATGAAGTGTGAGCGCAGGTATGGAAGACTCGGAATCGAGGACACGAAAAATGTCCGCAGACAGTGGTGCATATGCTTCTCCGAGTCCGCCGTCGGAAATTGTCCGGCGTCCGCCCCAGATGCACGAGCCCTGAATTTCCCCGCCTTCGAGATGGCCTCCCGTACTTGTAGCGGAAGTATGCTTAAAGCAACCGCGTCCGTCCTCCGCGGGGCCCTACGCGTGTGCGCCAACGCCCAAAGGCACAAGGGCACATCCACACTGGCAGGAATGCGGAGGACTCGCAGGATGGATGCAATGCAGATTGCGGTGTACTTACCTGTCGTTGTCGTCGAAAACGGCGTCAATGAGGGCCGTTTCAACTCCCTCGCAGCGCCCGAAAAGGATTGGAAGTCTCTACTGGCATGTGGTACGCCAGGTCCATGAGACACGGTCGGTAAAAGCGTACGATTCGGTACGGTACCGCGCTGCAAGGCGGATGTGGGCGGCCGCTGGCCGCCGGTGACGATTGTGACCCGAACTTGAAGGAGGCGACGACGCAACAGCGTCGGAGCACCTGGGTCTGAGTCCGCAAACAAGCCGGAGCAGCGGGAGCGGGTGCTTGCACTTGGAGAGATGAGAGGATGTTTGGGGGGGGGGGATATGGCATTTGGCGGGGTCGTGCATGGTCATTTTGTGAAGATGCGCGAGAATAGCCGATGGCGCTGGCGCTTTCCAGCCGGCCTGGAGCCAAAGTAAGTCTACGACTGGTCGCAATGAGGGCCCACTGGCAAAGACGCACAAATCACAGAGCTCCATCTGCCATGCCTGCCTCTCCTAGGCCTCGCGCTTGGAAGTTGGGGGTCGTGGGGCCTGCGAGCTGCCCTCAGGCTGCTCCCGGGCCCGTTGTCGTGATGACATGGCCATGCGGATTCAGCGAGCGCCCGGGCCTGCGGAGAGAAAAGGCCGACAAAAGCGGGGACGACATGGTCGTGCGTTTGCGCCACGGGTCCTTGGGCTGGGAATGCGAGGGCGCGGCGGCAGTCCAGCTCTGCTGGATCGAAGCAAAATCAGCAGAACATCGTCTCAGTGAGGCCGGAGACGCACCTGGCTGCACGTACGGTGCGGGTAGGAGGGCTCGGGGGCAGGGTGGGCGACGTGGCCGGCCATGGAGCGCCCGAAGACCTGGTGTCGAGCACGTTGAGAACGAATGTTCGTGAGAGAGTGAGTGATCACGCACCAAGATTCCGGCCGCAGAAGGGGACGCTGGACTGGGGGGACGCTGGACTGGGCGGCCAGAACTTCAACGGGTCTGCATTTACTCGGCACGAGGCGTGACCGGTACCTTGATATACTTATGCCACCCACCACTCCACTCCACCGCAAGAACTTCAAGTTGGGCCCGCCGCCACCGCCGATTCGTGTCGACGTCCGCGCAGGGACTGCTCTCTCGCCCACAACGCTGCGACGGCCGACGAAGGGGCGGGGCGGGGTGCCATTGCGTGGCGGCTGGCACATGGGAGTCGGAAATCGGTGACATCATCTTAGTGTGCACGCCAAGGCGTGAGTCATGACGGCGGTCCCGCGCCAAGGCCCGATAAGCCACTCGCGGGTATCGGATGGCTTGGAGCAGCCTCTGTCTCTGGCTGGCTAAGCCTCTGGCCGCGCGGCTTGGCCCCTGTCCCAAGCCCCCGATCCGCGACAAGCAAATCAGGTTTTTTCCGACGAATAGTATTTAACAGCGCCACTTCTCCTAGGCCGCCAAGAACGCACCCCTTCCTTCCGCCCCCGGGGTTTTCTGTTCTTTTCACACACGCATACAACGTCTGTTACCACCCCTCGACAACAACACCAACATTCACCACCACCAAATGAAACACCACGCCGACGCCGCCGCGCACGTGTCGGGGCAGTGCAACAAGCCGCTGTCGCGCCCCGCGCACGCACTCGAGATGGAGGAGGCGATCCGGGAGCTGGGGGCGGACGCGGACGACGGGCTCTCCGGCGCGGAGGCGGCCCGGCGCCTAGATGAGTACGGGCGGAACGACCTGGGCGACGACGCGGGCGGGGTGGCGCCGGGCAAGCTGCTGCTCGCGCAAGTAGCCAACGCGATGACGCTCGTGCTGCTGCTCGCGCTGGGCGCGTCGCTGGGGATCAAGTCGTGGACGGAGGGCGGCGTCGTCGCGGCCGTCATCGCGCTGAACGTCGGCGTCGGGTTCCAGCAGGAGCTCAAGGCCGCGCGGACGATGAGTGCGCTAAGGGGGCTCAGCGCGCCGACGGCGCAGGCGGTCCGCGCGGGCCGCAACGTGACCGTGCCCACCGCCGAGATCGTCCCCGGGGACATGGTCGAGCTCCGGACGGGCGACACCGTCCCCGCGGACGTGCGCATCGTCGAGGCGGTCAACTTCGAGACCAACGAGGCGCTCCTCACGGGCGAGTCCCTCCCCATCCGAAAAGAAGCAACACGCACCTTCCCCGACGACACCGGCCCGGGCGACCGGCTGAACGTCGCCTACAGCTCGTCGACGGTCACGAAGGGGCGCGCCCGGGGCATTGTGTTTGCCACTGGGTTGTATACCGAGGTCGGGCAGATCGCCGCGGCGCTGCGGGGCAATAATAACCCGACGCGGCGGCCCGTGAAGCGGCGCGAGGACGGCACGGCGCACCCGGGCCGGCACGTGCAGGCGTGGGTGCTCACCGCGCACGACGCGGTGCTGCGCTTCCTGGGCGTCAGCGGCGGCACCCCGCTGCAGCGCAAGCTGGCCCAACTCGCGCTCGTGCTGTTCGCCGCGGCGGTCGTGTGCGCGCTGATCGTGCTCGGCGCGAACGACTTCGACACGTCGCAGGAGGTCGTGATCTACGCCGTGGCGACGGGGCTCGCGATGCTCCCCGCGTCGCTCGTCGTCGTGCTCACGATCACGATGGCCGCGGGCGCGAAGCGCATGGTGCAGCGCCACGTCATCGTGCGCCAGCTCAAGTCGCTCGAGGCCCTCGGCGGCGTGACGAATATCTGCTCCGACAAGACCGGCACGCTCACGCAGGGCAACATGGTCGTGCGCAAGGCGTGGCTGCCCGGGTTCGGCACCCTGAGTGTCGCGGGCACGGCCGCGCCCTTTGATCCGACCGTCGGCGACGTCGGCAGGCGGCCCGAGCAGCCGCGCGAGATCGACTTCCGCGCGGGGGACGCGGAGGGGGAGGTCCTGTCCGCCCTCGAAAACCACGCCCGGGACAGCCCGCTCCTCGGCGACTTTCTGAACATCGCCGCCCTCGCGAACCTGGCCACCGTGCACCAGACGGGCTCCCCGCTCGAGTGGCACGCGCGCGGCGACCCGACGGAGGTCGCGCTCCAGGTCTTCGCGACCCGCTTCGGCCGGAACCGCCTCGCGCTGCAGGACCGCTGGCGGCAGGTCGCCGAGTTCCCGTTCGACTCGGACGTCAAGAAGATGTCCGTCGTCTTCGAGGACACGCACAGCCACACGACGCATCTCTTCACCAAGGGCGCCACGGAGCGCGTCCTGCCCAGCTGCACCGCCATCCGCGACGAGGCCGGGCACGTGCCCCTCACGGACGCGCACCGCGCCGACATCCTCGCGAACGTCGAGGCGCTCGCCCGCCTGGGCCTGCGCGTGCTCGCGCTCGCCGGCCGGGCCGACATCGGGCCCGTCGACGGCCACGCCGCGCCCGACCGGACGGACCTGGAGCGCGGCCTCGTCTTCCACGGGCTCGTCGGGCTGTACGACCCGCCGCGGCCCGAGTCGGCGCCGAGCGTGCGCAAGTTCCACCGCGCGGGCGTCAGCGTGCACATGCTCACGGGGGACCACCCCGAGACCGCCCGGGCGATCGCCATCGAGGTGAGTATTATCAGTCCCTTTTTGCATCCTTCCCTGACAGGCTCCCAGGTCGGCATCCTCCCCAGCCGGATGGGCGAGATCGCGGCGGACGTGGCGCGGACGATGGTGATGACCGCGGCGGAGTTTGACCGGCTGTCCGACGGCGAGCTCGACACGCTACAAGACCTCCCGCTCGTCGTCGCGCGGTGCGCCCCGCACACCAAAGTCCGCATGATCGCCGCGCTGCACCGGCGGGGGCGGTTCGTGGCGATGACGGGCGACGGCGTGAACGACTCGCCGGCCCTAAAGCAGGCCGACGTGGGGATCGCGATGGGCCAGGCGGGCGCGGACGTCGCGAAGGAGGCCGCGGACCTCGTGCTCACGGACGACAACTTTGCGTCGATCCTGAACGCCGTCGAGGAGGGCCGCCGCATGCTCGACAACATCCAGAAGTTCGTGTTGCACGTGCTCGCGTGCAACGTCGCGCAGGCGTGCACGCTGCTCGTCGGCCTCGTGTTCAAGGACGGCAGCGGCCGGAGCGTGTTCCCGCTCGCGCCCGTCGAGGTCATGTGGATCGTCATGGTCACGTCCGGCCTCCCCGACATGGCCCTCGGCTTCGAGGCCGCCGCAGCAGATATCATGGACCGCCCGCCACAAGATGTGAGCTGTTTCTCTTTTTAATTTTCTTTCCCTAACGCTTCCCAGATGAAAGCGGGCATCTTCACGTGGGAGCTGCTGCTCGACATGCTCGTGTACGGCCTCTGGACCGCCGCGCTCTGCCTCGCGGCGTTCCTGCTCGTGCTGTTCCGCTGGGGCGACGGCGACCTCGGGCACAACTGCAACGGCGCGTACTCGCCCGCGTGCGACACCGTCTTCCGCGCGCGCGCGACGTGCTTCGCGTCCCTCACGTGGTTCACGCTCTTCCTCGCGTGGGAGATGCTCCACATGCGCCGCTCCTTCTTCCGCATGCAGCCCCGCGCCGGCCCGGGCTCGGCCCTGACGCAGTGGCTCGCGGATGTCCGCCGCAACAAACTCCTCCTCTGGGCCGTCCTGCTCGGCTTCGCGACGATCTTCCCGCTGCTGTACGTCCCGGGGCTCTCCACCCGCGTCTTCCGGCACACGGGCATCACGTGGGAGTGGGGCGTCGTGTTCGTCGGCGCGGGCCTCTTCTTCGCGGGGTGCGAGGCGTGGAAGTGGGCGAAGCGCGTCTACTTCCGCCGCGCCGCCGCCCGGGCCGGTGGGGGCAGGGGGCAAGACCTCGAGAGCCGCGTGTTCGGCGCGTACTTCGACGGCGACCGGGGTGGCGTGGCCCTTGACAGCAGGATCGACTCCGAGGCCACGGTGCTGGAGAAGAACTCGAAGCCGCGAAACTTGAAGGTGTGAGAGAGGCGGCCGCGGGGCGGAGGGCTATGGGAGGATAAGTGTGGATGGCAACATGTACAAATGAAGACCTACGAATGTAGTAGAATTAATATTTCTTTTTCATTCTCACATCTTTGCGTTGTGAGAATCTGGCCGCGGCCGCGTCCGTAATGTTCGGCGTTCGGCGCTCAGCGCTCGCAGCTAACATCGCGCATGCGCAGCCATACGACCTCCCGGCCACTTGCCAGAAAAAACCCGCGCTGCTTCCAGGCTGAAGAGCCGTGAATTTGGGCGCCGATGCAATAAGCTAGGGATGTCACGCACTCCGTAACCGCCCCATCCGCGGCCCTACGCATAGGCCACCGCCATGCCGGCGGGCAGGGCAGCGCGCTGTCGAGGGAGGCTCAGGGCAGGCGACGGGCGACGGCGGTAAAAGTCGAGGAGACATCGTGGGAGAGCACAGCCCGAAGCACGTGCCGCTGATCAACCACGTCCCGCCCGCGCACATTCCCTCACGACACGGCCCCGTCCCCCGTCCCGCGTGGGGAGGTGACACGGACGATGCCGCTGACGCACCGCCCAGCACCTGCGGCCGCGCACTCGACGGCAAGCCGGCGAAATCCAGCTACAAAGCTTTGCTGTGCCCCCCCGAAAGGACTTTGGCGCTCATCGCGGGCACAACCGGCTGCAAACAAGCTGCGGCTCGCCAGCAATGCCGCTCACGGTGCGCGCACCCCTTTCGACAACTCCGCCGGCCCGTCGTTACTCGATGTCCGCGTCAAGCTTCAAGTACTCGTCACCACGAATCAGTCGACAATCAAGAAGAAGATAGCGCCCAACCGAAGGGGCCTCCACTCGGCCAGCATCAACGCGCTTGGCCCCAACCTCGTCTCCCCTCCCCTCGTCGGTACATGCGCGCGTTGTGGAGAAGTGCAAAATTGAAAACTTCCTGAGGCTGTGTGGGAACCCGCCTCGGCCCTCGGCGCCGCATGCCGGATTCTTGTCAGTGTGCTTCTTTTTTGTCAACCACCACATGCGCACCGCTGGAACCCCGTCTCTGCGTTGCCTTGCTGCTCGGGAGCGTCGTCAACTGCTTTTGTGGTCTTGGACTGGAAGCATAGCGCAGCTGCGCTGGCCATTTCCTGCCCAACCCGCCGTCAAAATCCTCAACACTGCGATGCACTGCACTCTCCCTAAACGGCAAGACGGCTTCAAGCTTGAAGCCATCCTTGGCGACAACTGGGGCCCTCATGGCGCCTCCATTTGGTCACGCCTGCCCTCTTCGCGGCCCAGGACGACCGCGGCTCAAAACTTCTCAATGACGAAGCTGCACTTACAACTCGGGAGTTCTGGGGTCAAATCTAACGAAAACGCGCCATCGCGACGAATGACTGGCGCGAAACTCGCTGGGCGCCAGCCGCGCCACTCCCTCTTCATTGTGGTGGACTTCGGCGGCGATCTGCCAGCTGTATCGGGCCAGCGAAGGCACTACTTTGGCCTCAGCTTGACCGCTTCGCCCAGAACTCGCTCTGGGCCGCGTTCTACACGTCCGGGGAGACTCTAGAGGCTGGATATATCTGTCTCGGCGCGTCTCCGCAATCTGCCACGGTCCATGGAGGCCGTCGTCGCTGTTGTCCGCGTTGTGCGCAAGGTCGGTGAGCGCCGACCGCATTTGTTGTCCTTTCTGGCTGAAATCTTCAGCGCAGGTAGCGCCAGTGCGGCGCTCTCGTTTCTGACGTTTTGAAGTGGAACGGGGTAGCGGCTCGGTCTGCGCGGCGCGAACTCTATTGCGTAAAAGCTGAGGACGGCGGGCCCAGTTGTTGTTCGTTCCGCCTGATACCCACAGGGCGCGGAGCACCAATATATCCCTCCGTCCTCTCGAAATTCCAGGCGGAACGGGCCAGCGCCTGGCTCTGCGCGGTCCGGCCGGCGTTTCCCGAAAGCAGCGGCGTCTCGGCCCGCCTCACGCGCGTTTGGTCTGGAAAGGAGGCCGCGGCCAGCGACGCTATATGCGTCCATCTCCAGCGAGTCCTAAGCGACACGATCCAGTCGTCGTGCTGCATCACGCCGTCCCGTGTCGGTGAGTGAACAGTCTTCTGCTGTATTCAAAGGCTGAATTCAAACAACTATAAGTGCCTTTGGCATCCTTGGCGCGAACTGGGGCCCATCCTGCCCACTCCCCTTCCCTTTCGTCTCTCCTGCCCTCATCGCGGCCCCGGACGACCGCGGCCTGCTCAAAACTCCACAACACTCTGGGCGAAACAACTTCTTGGGAGTTCTGGGGTCAAATCTCGCGAAAGGTCACCATCGGGGCGGTCGACTGGCGCTCAACTCGCTGGGCGTAACGCGCGCCACTGTCTCTACATCCCGATGGACTTTGCGGCGATCTGCTTGCTGTATCCAGTCCAGCGCAAGGCACGACTTTGGCCCAAGCTTGGTCGCTTCGCCCAGAAGTCGCCTCGGGCCACGTTCTTCAAGTCCGGGGTGTCTCCAGAGACTCAACGCAGCTGTCTTAACACGTCTCCGCGGTCTGCAACAGTCTATGGATGACATCCTCGCTGTGGTGCGCGAGATCGGTGATTAGCAACCGCATTTGTTCCTTGTTCTGGTTGAAATTTCCAACGCAGGTAGCGACAGTCTGGCCCCTTTGCTCCTGAGACCTTCAAGGCGAACAGGGAAGCGGGTGGGTCTGCGCACACCGGACGCTGTTGCGCGAAACCCGAGGACGGCGGGCCGAGTCCTTGTTCATTCCGCCTGGGATTCTCAGGAAAGAGAGCACGAATATCTCCCTCCGCTTTCTCAGAATACCAAGCGGAACAGGCCAGCGACTGGCTGCTGCGTGGCCCGGACGGCGTTTTCCGAAGGAAGCCGCGTCCCGGCCTGCCTCGTTTGCGTCGACCCAGTTCATGTCCTGCATCGCGAATTCCTCTGTCGCTGAGTAAACTCAGTCTTCTGTTGAATTCAAGGGCTGAATTTCAGACAAGTATGAGGCACCTTCTCTCGAATCTCGATCTTGTTCATCCTGGGCGCTCGATCACGCTGGCGCGCGGCTGCGTTATGTGCATGCGGTGCCCCGCGTCCCGCAGCCGGCCTTCCGCTGCACCTCGTCGGCCCAAACGGCACGAGGGGCTGGGGGAGACATACTGCTTCTCCCAGCAAGCATCTCGCGCTGATCCACCGCCGGTATCCCTCGATGCGCTACTGAAGCAATACCCAACTTGAAGGTGTCGAGGTATATAATCTCAGAATTTTGTGTAGCTAGGCGTAGCGGTTGGCGCGCAGGACATCATTTTGTCTTCATATTCAATCTTGAGCTGGACTGAAAATTTGCCTTGATAGCTACAGCCAAGGATGGGTTTAGGTGCAATAAATAAAGATACACTGACTTAAAAGCACATATTGACTAAAGATATAGGCAATTAAGATAATTGAAATCAGATAAATAACTCATGTGGTAAGTTTAAATGTCAGTGCAATGCATTGCCTGAGTTAATACAACATCAATTGTAACAGTAAAGTTCAGCTGTTATGTTGTATTGGTAAACACACATCAAACCTATTTTGGGTTGAACACCCATTCATAGCCCTTTGAAACCAGATTGAAATAGACTTAAATCTTGATTTATATGCAGAATTAGTGGTATTGTGAGCAAAGAGACACTAAGAGAAAAAGACAAAACCACAAAACACAAACACAATAAACAAACAAACAAATAAACACAAGACAACACAACACCTAATCTGGACTTAAGACTCCCTATGCTGCGCTTCAGATTAATCGGATCACATCAGAGTCTGATTTGGAATAGTTTGGTTTTTACACGTACAATTTCGGAGGCTCTTACTAAAGTATCTAACAGTTGCAATTCAGACAACACTTTTGAGTCAAGGGTTATGTAGTTTAATAAGGGCGGTTAGGTTGTCCCAAGGGGCATCTTTGATGTTTCGGCTGAGGCTGATGCACCGTCATTCCAAAATCATCAGCCTACAGTGCAGCTCTGTTGGTCGGTTATTAGCTGTATTGAAGTTTTCATACTCATGTTTGAATACTGTAGGAAACACATAAGCTCAAGTTATTGAAAAATAAGCATATTTGTGATTACATAAGCAATCATGATTAAGAAATCTTTCTGTTCGTTGAATTTAGCTTAGATATGTTGTTGGATCATTCACCCTTAAATCATTGAATCATCGTGAATCATTATAGCAGCTCCGGAACTGCTTCGACAGGCGATTTTGTCTGAATCGTGATTCTGATTCTGACATCCTGCAAGTGAATCATCACTTCAAAATTGGGCTTGGCACAATTAGTCAAAGTTGGCTATGATTTAGGCTGGATTCACTGTCAATTCAGGTCCAAAAACCATCCTAGAATTGGCCTTTGAATTATTTTAGAATCACCATGATTGACCACTCCTAATATTGTTCAAGCTATGTGGAAATGCTGTAGAGAAAAATAAGTTTAAGTGACTATGAAATGATCTGATATATGATTACATAAGCAATGTAACTGAGGAATTTCTTTGTTTACAGAACCTAGCTTGGATATGTGGTTGATGTATTATATCACATGAAAAGCAATTAGTGGATGTTAATTTTGATCAATTTATAGGGATGCCACCCATTACTGTAACGGCAACAGCCGTCAATTTCGGCGGGTTCCTATAGCCACGGCCGTCAGACACTGCCATTGCGAGGCCAAGGGCACGGCAACGGTAATGGGCCGGCCGTTCATGCTTCCAGGACGGGTCGACAGCAGGTTCCCTTCAGAGCCTACCCAAACACAGAGAAGTCATCAAATCAATACTCGGCAGTCATTGTTATCGTTACCGACCTGGTTCCAAGCCAATTTCTGGCCCTTGGCAGCAGCTTGAGAGTCAATCAGACCTTATCGGCCTCAGGCCATTGATAATTTTGCCAAGAGGTTCCAGTTTATGACAGGATATGGCGCACCCAGCGTACTGTCTCAACAGCACAACCACAAAGACATCTGTACAGCCATTGTTCTGCTGTTGTCAAGTCCAAATCTCACAGTTTGATTGCATCAAACCACAGACCCGTAGCGACGGCTGCCACAGCCGTAAATCAACGGTTACTATGGCTATAAGCCAAACCATAACCATTCCGTGGATGGAACATGGAAAATCCTCAAGCCATTACCGTTGACCTGTGGCTACGGTCACAGGTGGCATCCCTACAGTTATACCAAACTTTTGAAAACAGTTAATTTTTCAGATTTTCAGGTGATAGTGATGGTGGCGTCCAGTTTGGCTTTCCAGTTCAAACTGAACCGGACCAAGTTCACTCTGGAGCTGAACTTGGACCAGAAGTTCAGTTCTCTATTGGAATTTCAGCAGCTTTTGCTGAACTGGGTCCGAACATGTTTAAACGCTGAATGCCAGATGGCCAGGCTGTCATAAGCAATTAGATTAGACACAGTGATTGTTCTGATTTGGAAGGCTTCGGACTTGTTCCAGGCATAATCTCCAACACACACCCATTACACAGCCCTGTGGTGGGCTGAGTTCAAGCTTGCAGGGCTGGCCTGGTAGCACTACACTGTGGCACTCCTTTGAATACTGTTTCCCAATTATGGCACTGCTTTTGTGTTCTGTATTTAAACACTGTTCTGAATGCAAACCAAATCACATTGAACCTGAACACTAAGTTTGGTTCAAAGCTCAAGCTGGGGCTGAACCTGAACCAAAGTTCAGGTTTGGTGTTTGTGGACAAAGGGCTTGAACTTGAACTGAACCATTGCTATTGGGTGACTTTCAAGTGGTGATCCTGCTGAAGTGAGCAAAATACTCTAATAGTAGAGGGAATGGATTGATTAACATTCACCAACATGTGTGACAATGATATCCAAGTGCGCCAGCAATTAGCTCTTGTATTATAAAAAAAAAGTGGTCAAATTTGTATCCAATATATCTCTGCTGTATGTCCTTCAATTCTTGTTGCAGCCATCTATAAGAATCATGGTTTCAAGCATGAGTGGAAGCTAGGCAGTACAGTCTTAAAAGTGTCTCAACTGGAAATTCAACCCAAGTTCATTTCAGTCAATATATACAACTGGACTAAATTTTGAGTTGAGTAAAAGTGAGTTGAATACTAGATTATAGTACATTCAGAGAGCCTTCTAGCCATACCAGAACCATTCTGGAAGCTCAAAAAATAAACTCTTCTGATAAGCCCAAGTGAGTATATAAATTTTTGGCCAGGTAAAAGTGAGCTGAATGCTAGATTGTAATAGATTCAGAGGCCATTAGAATTATACCAGAACTACTCTGTAAGCTCTATAAATAACTAAGATACAGCCCTAATACTGTTTTGAAGTTATAGAGTAGTCTATAAGTTGCACTAACAAAAGTCAATAGATTTGTAGTCAGTAAACGTGAATTCAATGCAAAGTTGAAACCTTGACAGAGTTGATTATCATTAGGAATTGAATACTCACTCAGTAGTGAAGGAGTATTTTGTAGTCAAAGTTTGTTATACAATTGAAGACCAGTTTGTGTCAGACTGCGGGTCGGGCCGTGCAAGAACCTCTCCTAAGAACGCGCGCCCGGAACAGAACAGATAGATAGTCGGGCCCGCAAGTGGGGCGGGCGGGGTAGATCGAAACCGAAAGGGCCCGTGAACTCGGTCCCTTGCCGTGGTCGGTGGTCGAAGGTTCGAATCGGGTCATGTCGGGCCCGATGAGTCGACAACGCCTCCTTGCACGGAGTAAGGTAGTTCTTTAGACGATCTAAGCGATAGAGTACAGGGTACACTATCGCGCCTTATATACGCGAGCCCGCAAAGGGGGTGATCGGACACCCTGACCTCTACTCCTCCTCCTCGCTCCCGTTCCTGGCCGCAGAGGGGACGATCGTACATCCCTTGCGGGCCAGGCGCTACTCCTAATCTCCTAGCACTCCTCCCCAATCCCCTTGTGTCGAGTTGGGCTCGGCGACGGCTCGACGCGTCGTTCTCGGTCACGTGCTTCCCACGTGTGCGTTCCTCCTACTAGGGCGCATGTTCCCCGTCGTCACGTGCTGCGTGCTACGGGCCCGCGATGGCCCGACACCAGCGCCGGAGCGGACGGGCCGGGTCTTATCCGTGACAGTTTGTAGGCCTATTAGATCCATTTGTGCATATATATGACAGATTCCAAATGGTCAAGAACTCATTAAGGTACAAGCCTAATACTGTTTCGAACCCAGTTATCGACTGTTATAAAATCATAAGGTGAAGAAGCACTGGAGGCAAGACCCAAGGCATTAGAGGTCTTCCTCATGTTGCCCTTGTTTTTCCCAGGGGTTTCAGCCCAAAGAAAACAGCGGCAACAGACAGGGACCCCAAAACCATGCCTACAGTATGCCTAGTGCTAACAGGTACTAGGCGCCCTACTGCCTGGGCGTTTGCCTCTGGTGAAGCCTTTCAATACCTTTCTAACCATATGAAAATCATTCTCAATAAATCAAAACTCTTTAAGTTAATTATTGTTTTGAAGTCATTTGATTGACTTGTAGTAAAACAGTATAGATTGGTAGTCACCCATGTCAGAGTGAAGTTTTAAGGTCTTGTAAAGATCTTTCTGGCCGTATATGACTTGGTACAAACAGACTAGAAATAAACTTAACTGCCATAGTATTCTGTAGTAAAAGTTGATAGATTTATAGTCAACTTGTTTCAATGTGAGGTCAGGTTTGTAGAGCTTCCTCATACCTCTCTGAGTTAAGCCTCTTACTATTTTAAACCTAGTCCCAAGAGACACTTGGTCTTTTGATCTTCTACATTTTGTAAGTTAACAGTCAACAATTAAGTTCCAACTAAACCAAGTCATAAATCTACAACTTCCATCATACAATTCTATGGACTTCCATCTAACAGACCTGATACTTAAGTCAAGTTAACTGAGATAGCCAAGTTGCACTGTTTTGAAGGGCATCTTAGTTTCATGAATTGTCAGGTACTGATAGATTTCAAATGGGCATTGTTTGTTTTTTTCCCTGAAGAGATTTTTAGTAGCTTTTTAATGATATATAAATCATCCTAAATGGATAAGAATTGACTGAGTTATGTTAGTAGCAGGAAAAAAGTTCAAGTTTGGACTGGCAGTTTCCTGATTGGTCCTCATACTTCAGTTCTCAGTGATGGAGAATTTAAATAGCTTTCTAATGGTATGCAAATCATTTCAAACGGATAAGAATTGGCCAAGTTATAACCCTAACACTAAGAAGGCCTTGGGGTTTCCACCTAAATAAGTTAAGTGAAGTTCAACTTTGGGGTTGAACTGGCCCTAAAGTCGGATTTCCGCGGAGTTCCACTCAAAAGACACTCGTGATTTTTCACTTTTCTGTGTTTTCTGGCTTAACCATCAACAATTATGCTTAAGTCAAAACTGAACCAAGGCATGAATTTGTAACATCTACAACTTTCATTAATTGACCTGGGCCCTAAAGTCGCGGACTTCCACCTGGCAGTTAAGTTATTGTTCAACTTGGGGGTTGAACCGGCCCTAGAGTGGAATCCGCGGACTTCCACCTTAAAAGACACTTGTGATTTTTCACTTTTCTGTGTTTTATGGTCTGACCGTTAACAATGCGGCTTAGCTCAAAACTGAACCTAGTGTTCAATTTGTGATATCTACAACTTTCATTAATTGAGGCGGGCCCTAAAGTGGATTTCCGTGGATTTCCACCTGGCAGTTAAGTAATGGCCCAAGCTTGACTTGAACCGGCCTTCAAGTGGAGTCCGCGGACTTCCACCTTAAAAGACACTCGTGATTTTTCACTTTTCTGCGTTTTGTGGTCTAACCGTTAACAATGAGGCTTAGCTTAAAACTGAACCTAGTCATGAATTTTGAACATCTACAACTTTCATTATTTAAGCCGGCCCTAAAGTGGAGTCCGCGGACTTCCACCCCAAAAGACACTCGTGATTTTTCACTCTTTTGCAATTTGTGAGCCAACTACTAACAATTAGGCTTAGGTCAAAACTGAACCTGATGTTCAAATAGTAATATCTATCACCTCACAAAGTGGGCAGTGATTCTGTTGGCCCTAAAGTCCTGGCAGTTAATTACTTCCAAGTCTTACTTAGTCTTTAGGGCCAGTCTTATATATTTTCTATACTAAGTCATTTATCAGGTCAGCCCTAATGGACTGTTACTTTAGGGCCAGTCTTTATTTTTTATATATATAAGTCATTTATGGGGCCGGCCCTAAAGCGCGGGAAAAAAAGAAAAAAATACCCATAGTACAGAAAGAGAAGCCAACATGAGTTGTGAATGCAGGAAGAGTACACATCAACCAGATGATCCACTTTGTAAGAAGACTTTTATTATTCTGACTTTTTTAGCAGTTTTACTGAGTTGCCAATCAGGTGTAGTGGCTGAATGGGAGGTCACTACTCTCCCATCAGCTTAGTGGCAGTCTTAAGGAAGACTGCCAGACCACAGAGAAAATGCCACAACCCAAAAAGACAGCTACTAGCAAACCACTGACGAACACACCATGACCAAGAGATTGAGCTCAGCTCGGAAGGTGTTGAACCAACCTCGCTACCCCTTGGCTTGCCATGGCACATCCTATCTCCGCCAATTTAATGAAGCACAGACCAGACTGATCCACTTTCACTGTCTCCCCCCAGAACCCACAACAGGAAGAGCAGGGTCATTGAAGCCAAGCTACTCTTCCATATATAAGGCAGGACCACCCCTCAGCCCACCCCAAGTCCAAATCCCGCACAGGCGTGAAACACCCTGTCCACAATTTCGCGCGCTCGGACTGCGCGGAAACTCCGCAGTCACGTTGTCTGATGTCACATTTTATTAACTCAGCACATTTTATTAACTAATATGAAGTCACACAAATGCCCGCTGCAGCGCGCTGATCGTGCTCGGCGCGAACGACTTTGACGGCACGGCGCACCCGGGCCGGCACGTGCAGGCGTGGCTGCTCACGGCCCACGACGCGGTGCTCCGGTTCCTGGGCGTCAGCGGCGGCACCCCGCTGCAGCGCAAGCTGGCCCAACTCGCGCTCGTGCTGTTCGCCGCGGCGGTCGTGTGCGCGCTGATCGTGCTCGGCGCGAACGACTTTGACGCGTCGCAGGAGGTCGTGATCTACGCCGTGGCGACGGGGCTCGCGATGCTCCCCGCGTCGCTCGTCGTCGTGCTGACCATCACGATGGCCGCGGGCGCGAAGCGCATGGTGCAGCGCCACGTCATCGTGCGCCAGCTCAAGTCGCTCGAGGCGCTCGGCGGCGTGACCAACATCTGCTCCGACAAGACCGGCACGCTCACGCAGGGCAACATGGTCGTGCGCAAGGCGTGGCTGCCCGGGTTCGGCACCCTCAGCGTCGCGGGCACGGCCGCGCCCTTTGATCCGACCGTCGGCGACGTCGGGAGGCGGCCCGAGCAGCCGCGCGAGATCGACTTCCGCGCGGAGGACTCCGAGGGGGAGGTCCTGTCCGCCCTCGAAAACCACGCCCGGGACAGCCCGCTCCTCGGCGACTTTCTGAACATCGCCGCCCTCGCGAACCTGGCCACCGTGCACCAGACGGGCTCCCCGCTCGAGTGGCACGCGCGCGGCGACCCGACGGAGGTCGCGCTCCAGGTCTTCGCGACCCGCTTCGGCCGGAACCGCCTCGCGCTGCAGGACCGCTGGCGGCAGCTCGCCGAGTTCCCGTTCGACTCGGACGTCAAGAAGATGTCCGTCGTCTTCGAGGACACGCAGCACGGAAAGACGCATCTCTTCACCAAGGGCGCGACGGAGCGCGTCCTGCCCAGCTGCACCGCCATCCGCGACGAGGCTGGGCACGTGCCCCTCACGGACGCGCAACGCGCCGACATCCTCGCGAACGTCGAGGCGCTCGCCCGCCTGGGCCTGCGCGTGCTCGCGCTCGCCGGCCGGGCCGACATCGGGCCCGTCGACGGCCACGCCGCGCCCGACCGGACGGACCTGGAGCGCGGCCTCGTCTTCCACGGGCTCGTCGGGCTGTACGACCCGCCGCGGCCCGAGTCGGCGCCGAGCGTGCGCAAGTTCCACCGCGCGGGCGTCAGCGTGCACATGCTCACGGGGGACCACCCCGAGACCGCCCGGGCGATCGCCATCGAGGTGAGTATCAGTCCCTCCTTTTTCCTCTTCTGACGCGCAAAACAGGTCGGCATCCTCCCCAGCCGGATGGGCGAGATCGCGGCGGACGTGGCGCGGACGATGGTGATGACCGCGGCGGAGTTTGACCGGCTGTCCGACGGCGAGCTCGACACGCTACAAGACCTCCCGCTCGTCGTGGCGCGCTGTGCCCCGCACACCAAAGTCCGCATGATCGCCGCGCTGCACCGGCGGGGGCGGTTCGTCGCGATGACGGGCGACGGCGTGAACGACTCGCCGGCCCTAAAGCAGGCGGACGTGGGCATCGCGATGGGCCAGGCGGGCGCGGACGTCGCGAAGGAGGCGGCGGACCTCGTGCTCACGGACGACAACTTTGCGTCGATCCTGAACGCCGTCGAGGAGGGCCGCCGCATGTTCGACAACATCCAGAAGTTCGTGTTGCACGTGCTCGCGTGCAACGTCGCGCAGGCGTGCACGCTGCTGGTGGGCCTCGTGTTCAAGGACGGCAGCGGCCGGAGCGTGTTCCCGCTCGCGCCCGTCGAGGTCATGTGGATCGTCATGGTCACCTCCGGCCTCCCCGACATGGCCCTCGGCTTCGAGGCCGCCGCGGCGGATATCATGGACCGCCCGCCTCAGGATGTGAGCTGTTTCCCTTTTTAATTTTCTTTCCCTAACGCTTCCCAGATGAAAGCGGGCATCTTCACGTGGGAGCTGCTGCTCGACATGCTCGTGTACGGCCTCTGGACCGCGGCGCTCTGCCTCGCGGCGTTCCTGCTCGTGCTGTTCCGCTGGGGCGACGGCGACCTCGGGCAGAACTGCAACGGCGCGTACTCGCCCGCGTGCGACACCGTCTTCCGCGCGCGCGCGACGTGCTTCGCGTCCCTCACGTGGTTCACGCTCTTCCTCGCGTGGGAGATGCTCCACATGCGCCGCTCCTTCTTCCGCATGCAGCCCCGCGCCGGCCCGGGCTCGGCCCTGACGCAGTGGCTCGCGGATGTCCGCCGCAACAAACTCCTCCTCTGGGCCGTCCTGCTCGGCTTCGCGACGATCTTCCCGCTGCTGTACGTCCCGGGGCTCTCCACCCGCGTCTTCCGGCACACGGGCATCACGTGGGAGTGGGGCGTCGTCTTCGTCGGCGCGGGCCTCTTCTTCGCGGGGTGCGAGGCGTGGAAGTGGGCGAAGCGCGTCTACTTCCGCCGCGCCGCCGCCCGGGCCGGTGGGGGCAGGGGGCAAGACCTCGACTCGGAGAGCCGCGTGTTCGGCGCGTACTTCGACGGCGACCGGGGTGGCGTGGCCCTTGACAGCAGGATCGACTCCGAGGCCACGGTGCTGGAGAAGAACTCGAAGCCGCGAAACTTGAAGGTGTGAGAGAGGCGGCCGAGGGGCGGAGGGCTATGGGAGGATAAGTGTGGATGGGAACATGTACAAATGAAGACATACGAATTAATATTTCTTTTTCCTTCTCACATCTTTGCGTTGCGAGAACCGTGTCCGTAATGTTCGGCGTTCGGCGCTCGCAGCTTCCGTTCATAACATCGCGCATGCGCAGCCATACGACCTCCCGGCCACTTGCCAGAAAAAACCCGCGCTGCTTCCAGAGCCTGGCTGAAGAGCCGTGAATTTGGGGCAGATATATTTCGCCGCCCACCGCCGCCCACCAGCCGCCCATAGTGAAGACCCCAATGCACAATTTGTAGTCATTGTGCTGCTGTTTCAATTCTAAGTAATGATAAATTTTTAGGGATTGTTGAATTGACATGTTACATGGTGTGTATAACCACATATATTATAGGATTAAGCTGTTCAGCAACTATATCGACCTTTCGAGGGCATGGGATGCCCAACGATCACAGTTAGATACAGCTCCCAATATTAATCGAGGATGGCGAGGAACTCGCGCTCGATGCGCCCCACGTCCCGCTTGCCGAAGACGCTGGTGCACAGCGCCCAGTGGACGTCCTTGAGTGTCGAGTCATTGCTGTACTTCGATGCGACGATGAGCGCCCCGAGGAAGACGCCCTTTAGCGCCCACTCTTCTAGGGCAATGGACAGATGGGCCCGGCGCGGGCGATGTAGACGAAGCGACGAGGACCGCCCGGGTGAGCACGTTGTTGGCAAACAAGGCGATGTAGCACGACGGACCGCAGTCTGCGGCCCCTCGGTGTTGCAGTACGGCCCATGGCGAAGTCAATCGTCTCGACAACCGAGTCAATAAGGTACTCAAGACAAAGTGAGTCGAAAGGACAAAAGGCAAGATGCGACGCGACGCACCGACGACCGGCATTGTATTTAGCCAGCACTAGAACTTGTCAGGCATGAGCTCCATGAGCGCGGCCGAGTTCGTGGCGGGATGAAGACGTCGATCCCTACTGGCAGGCCGTCAGCACACCAACAAGCAGCGAAGCGGGACGAGCGGGAGGGCGATGTCGCTGTCATTAAAGTAGTGGGGCACTCGTTTGCCCGCCGCACCGCCGCTCACCTGAAAAGCATGCTCGCCGAGCCGCTCACTGGGCCGCGCACCATCCGCCGCAGCCGATCCTGGCGAGAGCCACATGGTCAGCACGCTGAGCATAGTGTTTTAGTGTTCTATCAGGTTGCTAGATGAGCGCGGTGTTGTGGTGAAAAAGGCGTGGTGCGGTGGTATAGTGCTGCTGGCAAGGTGCCGCCATAGTCTGTCTTCGATAAGAGAAGGAAAGACGGTGGGACGTGCGCGAGCGGCGCGGCGGATCATAATGCTCGCGGCCCAGGATGTCGCGCGAGAGTCGCGAAATCGAGCCGGTGACAACCAAGCTGCCGCGGCGGTGGGTGCGCGGTGGCGGGGTCGAGTTAAAACACAGCTTGAAGTCCAAGGCAAACAGCTCAAGTTGCCAGAGTTGTGTCGGAACAGTACAAGCTGACGCCGCTCACTATCAGAAGACGGTGGTATATCCATGGCTAGTGGCTTATGTGCGTGCTGTACACCGGTGACAGGGTGACGAGGGATGTAGGGACGTTACCTTGGGGAACGGCCGCGGGCGAAGACAAGATTTGGGGCCGCCCATCCAGCCCGCGTACCAATGTGCGGCGACGGGCGGCCATGGCAGCGTTGTCAGCATAACCGACATTCTTGAAGTTACGGCGGGCGATGACTGGGGATGGTGGTGGAGCGAAGGCAAGATGCAGAGATCTCAATCACTGATCATCTGTCAGTGTCGACGCCGCCGGCGAACGTTGATGGAGACGACGACGACGGCGCGGGCAACGCAACATGCGTTCAAGACCCGGAGAAGTGGCCAGCGCCGAAGGCGACGGACTTGTGGTGACGAGGAGTGAGGTCGATGGAAGAGAGCTGCCGCTTACTGGGTTGGGCGGCCATGTTAATCGCCGCCCTCCTCCCTTGGCTGAGAGCCGCCCTCTGTCACACGAGAGCCGCGCTCAGTTGTGCGAGAGCCGCCCACAGCCGCGGCAGCACTGCCACGAGCCGCCCACCACAAAAAGAGGGCGGCGAAATTAAGGCAAAAAGCCGCCCACCGCCGCGTCGAGCCGCCCACCCCAAAAAGTCCAAGGCCGTTGCTCAACAACGAGGCCACCGTTCGAGCCGCTCAGCAGCACGTTCGAAAGGTCTCGTCGGGGGCTATCGAACGCCTCAAGAATGTCGTGATTAAGTGAAGTATTGATATAGATATCGTCTACTCAATTTTCACAGAGCCGCCCACCAGCCGCTTCCGAGCCGCCCACCCCAAAAGCGGCGAAATCTTTTTGCCCGTGAATTTGGCAATAAGCTTGGGATGTCACGCACTCCGTAACCGCCCCATCCGCGGCCCTACGCATAGGCCACCGCCATGCCGGCGGGCAGGGCAGCGCGCTGTCGAGGGAGGCTCAGGGCAGGCGACGGGCGACGGCGGTAAAAGTCGAGGAGACATCGTGGGAGAGCACAGCCCGAAGCACGTGCCGCTGATCAACCACGTCCCGCCCGCGCACATTCCCTCACGACACGGCCCCGTCCCCCGTCCCGCGTGGGGAGGTGACACGGACGATGCCGCTGACGCACCGCCCAGCACCCGCGGCCGCGCACTCGACGGCAAGCCGGCGAAATCCAGCTACAAAGCTTTGCTGTGCCCCCCGAAAGGACTTTGGCGCTCATCGCGGGCACAACCGGCTGCAAACAAGCTGCGGCTCGCGAGCAATGCCGCTCACGGTGCGCGCACCCCTTTCGACAACTCCGCCGGCCCGTTGTCCGCGTCAAGCTTCAAGTACTCGTCACCACGAATCAGTCGACAATCAAGAAGAAGATAGCGCCATACCGAAGGGGCCTCCACTCGGCCAGCATCAACGCGCTTGACCCCAGCCTCGTCTCCCCTCCCCTCGTCGGTACATGCGCGCGTTGTGGAGAAGTGCAAAATTGAAAACTTCCTGAGGCTGTGTGGGAACCCGCCTCGGCCCTCGGCGCCGCATGCCGGATTCTTGTCAGTGTGCTTCCTTTTTTGTCAACCACCACATGCGCACCGCCGGAACCCCGTTTCTGCGTTGCCTTGCTGCTCGGGAGCGTCGTCAACTGCTTTTGTGGTCTTGGACTGGAAGCATAGCGCAGCTGCGCTAGCCATTTCCTGCCCAACCCGCCGTCAAAATCCTCAAGACGATGCACTGCTGCTGTCGCCACTCTCACTCAACGGCAAGACGGCTTCAAACTTGAAGCCATCCTTGGCGACAACTGGGGCCCTCATGGCGCCTCCATTTGGTCACTCCTGCCCTCTTCGCGGCCCCGGACGACCGCGGCTCAAAACTCCTCAATGCACAGCAAAGAAGACTGTGGGTGACGAAGCTGCACTTACAACTCGGGAGTTCTGGGGTCAAATCTAATGAAAACGCGCCATCGCGACGAATGACTGGCGCGAAACTCGCTGGGCGCCAGCCGCGCCACTCCCTCTTCATTGTGGTGGACTTCGGCGGCGATCTGCCAGCTGTATCGGGCCAGCGAAGGCACTACTTTGGCCTCAGCTTGACCGCTTCGCCCAGAACTCGCTCTGGGCCGCGTTCTACACGTCAGGGGAGACCATTGGTCGCTCGTTCTCGCTGAAATTTTCAACACAGATAGCGACACCCTGCCCTCTCGCCCCTGAAATTTTCAAGGTGAACAGGGCAGTGGCTGGCTGGGTCTGTGCGAAAGCCGGGGATGGTGGGCCCAGTTCCTGGTCGTTCAGCCTGATAGCCCGCGGGCGGGGAGCGCCGACATCTCCCTCTATCTTCTCCAAGTTCCAGGCGGAACGGACCAGCGCCTGGCTCTGCGCGGGCCGGCCGGCGTTCTCCGAAGGCAGCCGCGTCCCGGCTCGCCTCGGGCGCGTTTGGCCTGCGAAGGAGGCTGTGGGCAGCAACGTTACATGCGCCAATCTCCAGTGAATCCCGACCAAGTCGTCGTTCTGCATCGCGCTGTCCTGTCCCGGTGAGTAAACTCAGTCTTCTGCTGAATTCAAAGGCTGAATTCAAACAACTATCAGTGACCTTTGCTCGAAGGCCATCCTTGGCGCAAACTGGGGCCACTCCCCTTCCCTTCCGTCTCTCCTCCCCTCATCGCGGCCCCGGACGACCGCGGCGTGCTCAAAGAAGTTCCACCTACAACTCGGGAGTTCGGGGGCCAAATTGCACGAAAGCGCGCCATCAGGGCGGTCGGTCTACTGGCGCGTCACTCTTGCCTTCATTGCGGTGGACTTTGACGGCGACCTGTCAGCTGTATTGGGCCAGCGTAAGGCGCGACTGTGGCCTAATCCTGGCTGCTTCGCGCAAGAGTCGCCTCGGGACAGGTCCTGGGAAACTCCAGAGACCGAATACAACTGTATTGGCGCGTCTCCCCTGTTTATGAAGGACATCGTCGCTGTTGTCCGCATTTTACGTGAGAGTGACCTCCGACGATGAATCTGACAGCTCGGGTGAGGATTAGTGTGGCATGTACTATTATGAACTCTGTGAAATTGACTGCCATACCCATGCCATCTGGAACCTGTGAGCAACCCGCAGGTAGGCATCCATGGATGATATCCTTGCGGATGGCGGATTGTCTGAATACAGGTGCTGATTTTGGAAACAAAAATACCTGCGGGTTGAATACAGGTATCCACCCGCGGCACTCGTGTGCAGCTTTACTGACAGGGTATGCTATCCAAGCTTATGGCACACTGTAAATATGGAAATTTAGCGTTTGCTTAAAATGTTACCTAATTGACTCGTTGAAGTGCTTCTTACAATGTTAGCTTACAAGAGTGTTGTAAGTTTTTCCTAAAGTCATTCCCTAAAGCACTGGTTTAAACATCTGTTTAAGCATGGAATTTATTGACTTTTTTTAAGCAACATCCTCCACAAATACTAAAAGAACTCATTTAAGCATCCTGTTGAAG